GAAAGGGGGGGAGAGAAAAAGGGAGAGAGGCAGAGAGGCACATGGTCCCAGCCACTTATCCTAGTAGGTGACCCTCTGGGGCTGCCAGTGGTAGGGGGACCTGGGTGTCTGGTCATTTTCCACCCCCCAGCTTTACCTCTGACTCAGCAGCCACGGAGACCCCACACTGGGTGGAGTTTTATCTGCCAACTGCATCCTTAGGGACTGGGACAGGGGACAAACTTTTTCTGCAATAAGCCAGATAGGAAATAGTTTAGACTTTGCAGGCTACACACCCCGGTAGACAATGTATCGATGCATGGGCGGGGCTGAGTTCCAATAAGACTTTGTTTCCAAAAATGGGGGGGGGGTTGCTGGACTTGGCCCTTAGCCGTAGTTAGCTGACCCCTGGACTAGCCTGTGGAGGAGATGGTGCCTGACTCCCCCCTCCCCTCTCATCCAAGGACCTCAGATACCCTGAGTTGGACCCCGCATCCTCACTCAGGATCCATTTGCATCATTGGTTCATGAACGGCCTCTATTATCTTATGGATACTTTGTAGACAAAATACTGCACCGGGAGCTCCCCGTGCAAACCGAGACCTGGAATGTTTGCTGAAAAGCAGCTGTGTGTGTGACTTCCCCTCTCTGTGTGGTGTCCCCTATGGCTCTGTGCCCGCCGACCTTGGGGGTCGCCCCACATTCCACGATGTGGTTCTGGACACACACACACACACACACACGGAGCACGGTGTGGTTGAGTTTGACTTGTGTTTGAACTTTGTAAAAAGAACGCAATATCATACGTGTTCTTCTGGAAGCTTTTCTTGGACTCAGCAGTTACTTCATCCATGTCACACGTGGGTGTCATCTCTCCGTTTGGCTGCAGCCTCCTGTCATCATATGACTCTCTGAGCCTCCTTCCCAGGATCATAACTTCTCCTCTGTTTCATGCCTGTTCCCAAAAAGAGAACTACATCCCTAATGCACTTGGTCCAAAAGGCCGGGGGTCACAAAGTGCGTTTGGAAGGTTTACACGCCAGGCTGACACGTAGGTGTGGGAAAGGTCCCCTCCTTCCCATTTTCACTTTTTTTTTTTTTTTGCCATGGAGAGCATTGAGTTGCCCTCACACTATTTTTCCTTTACTAATACTGAGCGGCAGGCACTGCCCCAGTTACTGGAGATGGACAGTGAGCCCCACGCAGAGCCCGGGACTCGGGTTCTAGTGGAGGGTCATGAGTAAATGTGGGGTGACAGATGGCAGCAGTGGGATGCACAGGGAGACGTGGGTGACTGACCAGTGTGGCGTGTCCCCGAGGAACCCTAGCCGGGCTTCCCTGAGGAGTATCGAGCCCCCAAACATGCCCCTGTGTGGGGGGCAGTCACAGCCTCCCACGAAGTGGTTTTGTTTTTGTTTTTAAATCAGTAGCTTGGTGGGGAACCTTCCACCAGCCCACATTTCCATCGTGGGCGTCCACTGTCTGTGGCTTTCCCGCTTGACGTAGGGAAAGTGTTTGCTCCAGGCCCAGTGTCTGTCGGGCACCTGCTTCCGAGCGGCGTGGGGCAGGGCTGCGCAGGGGCCCAGCCATGTGCTCTGAGCCCAACGTGGTTAAGAAAGCAGGGCCCCGCGGGGGCGGGAGGGCTGCTGTTAGAGGATGGCCTTTGGGGGGGGAAGGGGCGGGCTTTTGGCTGGTGCTCAGCCTCGAGTGCTCCAGGACCACCTGCCACTCCTGCCTGCCAGGCGGGATCGCCTCCGGCTAAGAGGGCGTCGTGGGATCACCGGGTCTAACGCCGCGGCCACCAGGGACCCAAACATTGAGTAATGAGGTCTCCCGACTCCACCTGGAAGCCGCAGTCTAATGAATGGACGAGCCTGACTTTGAGTGGGATGTTTTTGTTTCCAATTTCAAAGGTTATATTTGTGGTCCCTGAGTTCTAGGTGAGGATTGCCCCTTCTTGGCCACACTTGAACTAAAAGTAGATGTGGGGGACAGGCAGCGAGACACGCTGCGGGGTGACTCATCTCTGCCTGGACAGTCCCACCCACACTGACCCCTGGCAGGAGGACAAGACACACCCTGCCCTTTCCTACCTATTCCACAGACGGCTAAATGGGGGAGAGCACTTCTTTGTCCAGGCCAGTAGCGTGGGAATGAAACAGCCCTCCAGGATCCGCTCTCCCCCCCAAAAAAATAATGGCCTCCAGTGATTCCCTGTGGAGATGTCCCAGGTGACTTCCATCTCTGTGAGACCCCTGCCTTGGCTCCTCTTGGTCACATTGACACAGCTGGACCGTGGTGTGAAGGGCCCTGGAGAGCTGCCTGGAAGGGCACAGGGTTCCCCACAAGCAGTGCTAGTGGCAGTGATGACCCCGACATGCAGTTGTGTGCACCTTCGCCCTCGGAAGTCCCTCTCAGAGAGGCCCTGTCCTGTGGGTTTCTTCCTCCTGTGTCTTCTAGAGCTTTCCATGGGTTTTTGGCTTCTGCTTCCACATCTGGGGGCAGCTTCCCTGTTCCCGTCTCACCCTGCACTCACTAAAACCTTTCTCGTCAGGTCGCTTCCTTGCAACCCTGCTTCTCCCCAGACCACAGGGACTCAGGAAGGTGTCAGTGGCCAACCTTGGTGGTAGACAGGTTCCCGCCTGTTTGTCCCGGGGTGTGCAGGGAACAGTGGCATTGGCTGTGGGTGCGGCCAAGGTCCCCATCCACAGGCAGGTGTAGGCCCGAGGTGTCGGTCGGGTCCCCAGGGCAGCAGTAGGACTGGCGGTTCACCCCGGGATGTGGGCCCGCTCCTGCACTTGGGCTCACGGGTATTGTTTCGGGATGTGACCCCACACTCTGTGCTGCTCTGCAGGTTCTTGTACTTCCCCTACCCAGCCAGATGCACGGCCATAGTGTGTGTGATAACATCCAGGACCTCAGAAATGTGAGATAACCAGCAGACAAGATTTTCAAAGTTGGGGGCCCTCGCTGACCTTCATTAGTTCTTCCAATGTTCAGGAAGAGGCCCCCGGATGCGGATGGCGTCCTGGCTCCAGCCTCACCCCCTGTGCCTTGGGAGTGCGGCCTCCTGTACAGGTGGTGCTCCGGCCCCGGCCCTGCCCCGGGCTAAAATGGGGACTGGATTCGCCCGCATACGACAGCTCGGAGTGTTTCTCTGCAAGGCTGACCAGTGAGGACTCCACAGAGCCATGGGGCATGAGCCACCCAGTGCCTGCGTGGGTTTCTCCACGGTGGACACTGGGATTCCAGCCTTTACATCCCCATTTCTGTCTCCTGACTGAGAAACTCAGCGGCTGGGGTCAGCCATAGACCATGGGCCTCAGTCCCATGCACTGTTCCTGCTGATAGGCCTAAGCCATGGGTCCAGCCCTCGGGTGTCTGCTCCTGAAAACGAGGGGGCCTGGAGAGGAACAAAGCTGCCTGAGGCCACAGCCCATTGGCAGCAGTGTGGGGAAGGACCCTGGTCTGTGGCCCCTCAGCTCCCAGCCATCCACCCGGCCTCTCTGGTCCCCCTCCTCAGCCTGCGGGTGGGAAGGGGTCGAAGGGACTCTGGGCTACCTTTCAGTGCCTGTCCAGGCCCCCTCCCTGCCCTGCCTGCTCCGCCTGCCCCAGCTCCAGGCTTGGCTGCTCCTCCGTCTTGGCGGAGAAAGTGAGAGCTGCAGTCCCTCCACAAAGCTGCACTGTTCTCAGCAAACCCTCCCAGGGTCGGGTGCATTTTTTTCAAATGATTCAGCAGCACGTGAATGGGAAGGGCCGAGCTTCGGGAATGCGACCAAGGCCTGTGGCGTGACATCCCATAGGGCCCACAGGGAGGAGGGTTTAGGGCTGGGGTCGGGGTCATGCCAGGGTCCTGGGGGGTCAGGGAGGCCAGTGGGCCATGCACAGTGGGTGTTTAGAGGAGACCTGTCCCTCTGGCTCCAAGGTCAGGGTGTGTGTGCGGGTAGGAGCAAATGGACAGGAAATGGAGATGGGAGAGCCGGTCTCCATGGCGACGGGCATCCAGTGGCCAACAGCTCACGTGTGTGCTAGAATGAACAGCACTAGGCAGACCTGGCAGGCCCCTGGGTACCAGGCTCGCGACAGTGTGGCCCAGGGCAGGGGCTGCACCCCATCACTCTCCCTGCCCCACCTTCAACCCCAATCACATCTGCTTTGAGCAGTTTTCGTTCCAGGCATTTCTAACCCTGGCCTGAGTCACAGTGGCCAAGTCTCTCCCTCAGCCTGGACAGGCACAGCCCTGCCCCAGAGCCGGGAACGTCCATCAGTTCTTGGGGATGGAAGGTTTGCAGGGACCTGAGGGTGGGCGTGGCCTCTCTCAGCCGCTGCAGGGACACAGGAAACCCGTGGTTCCCTCAGCAGCACAGGGCTGTTTTTAATTACTAAGTGACAGCCCCCTTTTTTCTATTTCCCTAAAAGGAGTGGACTTGGAGGTCTGTTTCTCCACTGACAGAAAGGGGCCAGGCATGGTGGCCAGGAAGGCAGCTGAGAGCTTGGGGGAAACCCCACGACCTGTCCACTGAGGGCACCTGGGAAAGTGTGGGGCCGGGCAGACAGTGAGGCTGCAGGGCCAGGTGGGGCCGCTGGGGCTGGACACTCCCTCGGACTCCCAGGCGCTGAGCCAGCGCTGATGTCATGCGTTGCTAGTGACATCTCCCAGGCTGCTCGACCACACCCCGTTCCTTGTGCAATTCAGGGACGTGGCCTTGAAACCTGGGCATCAGAGCGAGTGTGCAGGTCTCTGTGTGCACGACCCCCTTTCTAGGTCCGCGGCCCCTCCAGCCGGTGAGGTCCAGGCCACCGGCTGACGAAGCAGATGCAGTCCCATTGGAAAGAGGCAAAACCATCTCTCCTGTGTCCCCAAGGCCCCCTGAGATGATTTAGTTACATGTGAGCAGGTAGGGGTCCTCACTAATCCAGGGGCAGGGCCCCCTCCTCCCAAGTGGCAGCGTGGGAGCCGGTCACAGGCATTTGTCAGGACTTTGGTAGCTGTGTGGTTGGAGGGTGGAAATGTCTTCACTCTCGGCACCCTTTTCTGGGGAGCATAGACAAAATCGTGGAACCCTGCAGCCCCCCTCGAGTCCCCCAGCAGAGCGGGGCACGCCTGGGGAGCCCGGATCCTCCGCCCGGCCTGGAGTGAGTAGGGCTGGCTTTGGTCTGCAGGAAAATCGTGTCTGAATTCCCCTGAAATGGTTGTCGTGTAACTGTACCCAGAGACACACAAATGGACCAAGTGACCTGCGGGGGACTGAACACCGTTCACATCTAAGAAAAGTGCAGTTTCTCCGTGGCCAGCGGCCCTGTGACCACGTTGCTGCCCCTGCTCTCACACCAGGGCCCGCTGTGCTCTTGGCCGGCAGTCACCCCCGTCACAGCAGAACGACCTGTCCCCCTTCTCTTGATTGGGGCCAGGAGGGTCTTTGCCAAATGTGCTGCCCAATCCAAGGCCCTGAGTGAGTGGCACTGGGAACGTGGGCCCCTCATCGGAGGGACCGCCGGGCTTTTTCCAGAGGACTGTGGCCAAGACCTGAGAGCACCCTGTCCCTGCCGGCAGCGACCTCCCAGGCCCAAGCTGAGGCTTCAGGAGATGGGCCGGGCAGGGACGGTGCCCGCTGCTGACGCTGAGCCACCCTTGCCAGTCTGAGTCAGGGCCTGGGTAAGGCTCAGATGACCCGGGGCCGGATTTTGACCTCACAGGAGACGGATGTTTTTCCAAATCCTGGGATTCTCGCACCTCTTCTGGGCAAACGCGTGATTTTTCCTGGGGCTAGAAGTCAGTGTGCTGGGTGCATGGCACAGGGCCGAGACTGTCTGCAAGTCACGTGTTAACATGCACAGGTTTCCTGTCCTGAGGGTTGGGAGCCCGGGCCTGGCACAGCGGCCCCTCGGGACAGCAGCAGACAGTCTGGCCTCCGCGGGACTTTCCCCGGGTGGCTGTTGTCTCTCGCAGTCTAAATGCAGCCTGTATTCTTCGGATCATTGTCCGTGATCTTGACTTTCCACCCGCCCAGTTCTTTTCCATCCCAAATCTGGCGGCTGTGCCGGGGATTGTTTTTGCAGGCTCCTGGCGGGGGGAAGTGACATCATGTGGTGTCCGCGGCCCGGGTGGGGGCGGGGCTCTGCGGTTGCGTGTGCTTTGAATTAAGTGGACGGTTGTGCATTCCAGTAGCTGACATCTGGCAGTGAATTCATCAGCCAGTGTGTCACCCTTGATCTTAAACCCAGATGTTGTGCGAACGGCAGAAGGGAAAGAAGAAAACAAAATCTGAGCAGCCGGGGAAGAGGCCATCGTTTTGGGGAGCAAAGCAGAACACATATCTTTATAAAGACTCTCCCTCCTCCTGCCCCCTCTGGTTCCTGTAGTCGGCGGGGGGTAGGTGGGGGGGTTGGAGCAGAGCAGCCCATTTTCTGGGGGAGCGCAGGACATGAGGTGATCCCCCACCCTAGGGCCAAACACCAGGCCCAGCATATAGTAGGTGTTCAGTAAACACATGTCCAGGCCTAGATTTTAATTTCTTCCCAGGTTCTTTGGGTCTCTGCTTTTCCCCAGCCCTGTTTACATGGTCTGAAACGCAGACAAGCATCCATATGTTTGCAGCAGAATGGAAGGGAGATGTGGAATGCACCACAGAACAGCATTTCCCAGAGGAAAACAAGAAAGGGCGATTTTAGCTGGGTCCTGGAGGATGAATAGAAGTTCTCCAGGCAGGGTGCGGGAGATGGCATTCAGGGCAGAAGAAAGTTGCCCGTTCAGAGGTGGGGACACCCCTGGGCAGGTCCAGGCTTGGGAGAATATTAATGGACTGATGGGACAGCAAAGCGGGGGCCACCGACGCAGATGAAATAGCCATTGACTGGCACCAGGTTTCAAAGCATTTCCTGTGTGAGATGAGGGCAGTGGGCAGCCGAGGTGGGTGTTTGAGCTGGAAGCGACGGGACTATAAAAAGATATCAGGCGCTGGGGGTGCGAGGAGACACTGGAAACGGGAACCTGTTACCAAGGGGAAAGCCCTCTGTTCTCGGGTTGGCCCACTGGCCGGTGTTTCCTAGACGTGGCTTTGCAGATTGGGGCCTGGCTTAGGCTGGGAAACAGGAACCTGAGGCCTGGACCTGTCATGACTCAGCTCCAACAGAAGAAATAAGAATGGGGTTTGGCCTGGGGCCGGGCACTGGGGCCACAGTGGGGGGCTCCGGTACCAGGTCGAGATTTAGCACTTCACCGGTCCAGGGGGATCCACATGCCTGAGCCCCTCTGTTCTGTGGGAAAAGATGGCCCTGAGATCCAAGCTGCCTGCCTGGGGGTGGAGGTAGGAAGCTCCTTCGAGCCAGGAGCTATCCGTTCCTTATTTCTTATGTCCCTCACATCCGCACTAATGTGACACTTAACCAGAGTGACCCTGCACAGTCGTCTTTTGCAGGGCAAAGCTTTTAAAGCTATTAAGACAGTTTGTGGCAGCAGCTGCTAAGCCTTGAAATGGAAAAAGGGAGGGCTCTGCCCACCGGCAACGTGAGCCGCTGATCCAAGAGCTGGCAGGTCACGGGGTGGGACAGAGTCCTGGCTTAACTGCCAGTAGGAAGCCCTGTGGTGCGTGGCCCTAAGCAGCCTCGGGCGGGGCCCGGGGAACATTCTGGAACCTTTCCAGCCTGACTTCTTCACCCGTCCTTCATCCTGAGTCCTGGCCTGGGATCATCTTTCTGTTTGGCCTCCTTCCTTGACATCTGTCCCTCAGGCCTGCCACGTGTGCCCCCCTCGCCCAGCTCAATGCCCTTTCCGTTAAAACGCTCCGACCTTCTGACATGTCCTTGATGAAATAATCCTTATTACACAGAATCATCCACAGGACATTTTCCGGGGACAGATCGGGGCAGTGAGATATACCTTTAGAATTCAAGACCCCAAACCTAAACCTGATGGGGCCTCTGTAAGATGGGTAACGACCCATGTCCTTCAGCCTGAGCAGGCGTTTACCGGTGGGCTGTGTGGATGGAGCGTGGGGCGGGAGGGGGCGTCTCAGCATCGGACTCACGACCGGGACCCCGGGTCAGTCAGTGGGCTCACCCGCTGCCCCAGCCACCCCGACGGGCCCCTTGGAGAAAATGAAAAAGCCCGAGGCCCTCGAGACTGACAGCCGCGGGGAGCTGTGTCCGAATCAGCGGCAGCCTGACCCTGGCAGAGGGACGGGGGCCTCTGCTCCGAGCCATGGGGCGTCTCCGTGGCATCTCTGGGCCCACTGCTTAGCTTGTGTGGCATCCGAGGCCCTGCTGGGGGCCGGGGTCCCCTCGCCTCCCGCCTCCCCACTGCTGCTTCCCCAGCCTCGGGGGCCGGGCTGACTGCGTCCTTGTGTTTTGCAGTGATCAGGGCCAAGGTGGTGAGTGAGAAGGAGGTGGGCTCCGGGAACGACATCTACGGCAACCCTATCAAGAGGATCGAGTACGAGATCAAGCAGATAAAGGTGAGGCCGGGGCTGAGGCGGTCACTCGCCGGGTGGGCGGGGCCAGGCAGGCGTCTGGGGGGGTGTTTGTTATTTTTGGAGGGATGTTGTTGGTGTCCCGGGGCACATGGCAGGAGCCCGTGCTCAAGAGGGAGGCAGAGGGCGGGAGGAGGGCCACAGGGAGGTGGGAAGGATCCGGAAAGTTGCTGTTGCCCAGAACTAACTTGGTCTACAGGCGAGAAGAAAACTCTGGGCTCTGGGGGAGGGACAGCTCTGTCATCCATACTGAATTTTGTTCCAGAAACAAAAAGTAGAAAACAAATGTTAGAAGGTCAACGAGACGCTTAATCATTGCGTCGGTGTCACTGAAGGGGGGCCCGCCTCTGGTGCCCGCGTCTGTATTAGTGAAGCGGGAGGGGGGCGTCTCCGCTCTCAGACCTCACCGAGTGGCTTTGAAGGCCAGGCGGGAACTCCGCGGCCGCCCCTTAGCTCTGCTGGAAGCTGCCCTGACCTATCTTGGCGTGGGCTGGAGCGTAGCCCTCGTGAAGCTCTTTCATCGTGACGTTGGGGACAACCTTGTCCCGGCTGGGTTTGCTTATGAAGCTCTCAAAAAAACAGGCAAACCAAGTAAAGCGCCGATGCTGTTAACCCTGGTTTAGCCACAGCCGCGGCGGGTCCCAACGAGGTTTGCGTGGGATCACAGAGCCCGCGGTGTCCGCATTCTTTACCCCGGTTCGCCTCCTTGTGTGTGGCCCTGGAGCCCACATGCCCTCCCCGTTCCCTGCACCCACTTCCATCAGGCTACACCCCTAAAGCCAGGGCCGAGAGCCATTTTCAGTGCCATGAACACCCCCGCCTGTCTCGGCCCCCCGGTGGGGCCGGAGGAGCTCCCGAGCTGGCGGTCACGGGTGCAGGTGGGACCGCCCCCGGGGGAGCGGGACTGGAAGGCTGGGCGGCCCACTCCGCTCACTGCCGCTCATCCTCGCCTTAGATGTTCAAAGGCCCCGACAAGGACATCGAGTTCATCTACACCGCCCCCTCCTCCGCCATCTGCGGGGTCTCGCTGGACGTCGGAGGCAAGAAGGAGTATCTCATCGCAGGTGCGTACGCGGCGGGCGCTGGGAGGCGGCGGGTGGGGGCTGCCCTGCCTCTCCCTGCGGAAAATTCCCAGTACATTTCCACC